TTAATTCCTTGTATCTCTTTGCTTGTGTGTGTGGTTTGTGCTTTACCTATTAAACTGTCTTTACCTCAGCTCATTAGTTTTCTCACTTGTGATTTTCTCCTTCATCCTGCATCAGGGCAGTGACTGAGCAGGTGGGCAGTGCTTAGTTGCCAGCTGGGATTAAACCTTGATGTTTGGTCAACTGAAAGACGTGAAAAATATTTAGCCATATGCTGGCCTTCAGATCTGACACCACACACTTACCTCCTCTCTTGTCTCTCTTCCTATTTTTCCCCATCAAGAATGCATTTAGCAGACTCAAGAGTCTTACAGATCAAAACTAGCATGCAGACTACTGGTTGACTACTGCTACTACCAACCTTGATCATTACCAGTGTGCCACTGCATTAGCACAATGATATCACCTAACTGAAGTTCAGTAGCACAACTGAAGTGGGAATGCAGTATAGAAGTGCAGGCTTCATTGAAGAGCAGTGCTTAGTGTCTAATTAAAACACAAATAAGATGTTCAGTAATTATATATCATGTATGAACAGAGGCAAAGTTCCACACATTGAGCAGGATATGCAGCATGTTGTGGGTATTAATGCAGCATATTATGGGTATTTGTCTGTGTAGCACAGCAGGAATATGTATTCAACTGGGGTTGAATACACGGAGCTGTATTATAATAAAAAAATAAGAAGATGAGGATGGCCAGTAAGTTCTACGAACTGATTTCTCAATACTAAGGAAATAACATTTACCTGCCCTTTGTGTCAAAAAGAGGTCTGTATCATGCAAAATACCAGGTAGTGTGTCCTGAGCAGTTCTGTCAATTGTATCTATATCCTCTGAGTAATTTTATTTACACATTCTCTTGTGCAAATTTGTCATGTCAAATACAGATTACTTGTATTTTTAGTACTCAGAGTTGCCCTATTGGGGTCCTAATGCCATTTCTACTGGAATAAGTGTCAACATATCTGTTTACTTTGCTAATAAGGGGATCACTTGGAATGACACCTAATACCGCTCTTTCAAAAACAGACAATAAAACAAATGCTACTGCAAAACTTTACTGTTTGGGAACTTCAGAGTATGTGAGATGGAGGTGCCACTTTTTAGGTGAATTGCTAAAGCTGCTGCCTTCTTTTCTATGTTTCTTTTTTTCAATTGGAACTCTTTAGAGTTGTTCTTTCCTCATATTTTATCTACACTGGAAAAGTAAGGATCAGGACAGAGCTCTCAAAATCCTGTGAGAAATACAGTAGGAATAGGTTTGATATGGGTCTAACAATTCAAAGGATGAAAGGTCTCAACATTTCAAGTGCTCTAATACTGAAGCAATTGCTGTACTATGTGTGTTCAAACTGAGTAGTTGTTTCACTCATTCCCTTTTCAGTGTCAACTCCAATTATTTTAAGAGTTAGGCTTCAGTGAAACTGCATACTTAAAAAGTATGTAAAAAATGCTTTGATAGGCTTCAGTAATGAACGATCTAGAAAAGTAGTGGAGCAAGAACTAAGGGTGGAGACACAATCTCTCAAAGGGTATAAAACAAAGAAGGGATCCTTTATCTATGAATTTTTTTTAGATAGAATAATGGTTTTCTTTACATATAAATATATAAAGCTGTAGATCCTTTTAAACCCATTTGATGGAAAAAATTAATGCTGTTACTAAAAAAGCATCAAAAGTTTTTGTCTGTCTGAAACCATAATCCATGGATTTGGAATTGTACATCAGCATGGTTTTTTAATTAATTGAAAAAAAACCAACCCAACTATATGTCTGTAGGACATCTCCATATGGTCTCAGTCTCCATTCAGATTTTTTTCTCCCTTTTGCAGGCTCTTAATTTACAACAATTCTACATAATTCCCTCAAACAAAAACATCTCTCCTTCCCTCACTTGCAAACCCTGGATATATGCCTACTCTGAGAAGGACTGATAAACTGCAAAATCTATGAATACTGCTTGTGTGGGAAGATGATGGGGTAAAAAGATAATAGTATGGAAAGCAGAGGGGAAAATACAGTAGCTATTCCCTGGATGGAATGTGGCAAACATACCTGACCTCGCACACACCACAGTTTCAGGGGAACTAAAGGAAGGGTGGAGCAGGACACCATGACCAGGCTCTGTTGACACCCTTGCAGAGGAGGGAGGAACTTGGTGGTAATTTCTAGCTGATAAGCTGCACAGCAGCTGAAAACCAAGTGAGATAAAGAAACATGTCCTGCTGTTGAATCAGCAACTGTGGTGAATTCACTCTCCTTGGACTGACACATGTCCTTGTTCCAAGGTTATATCTTGTACTATACTGAGATATCTGCTGCTGAGGAACAGCCTGTTTTTCTACTGCCATGTTAGACTACAATGTTGATCAAAGCTTGATGATCAGGGTCTTCTCAGTGACAGTATTAACAAGGCTACTGGACTTCTAAAGTTTCTATTTTACCAAATGACTGAATGCACTCCTTTGATGATGACAAGAAGAACATAATTATTATCTAGTTTGTTCCTTGAACTGCAAAAACTGGCTTTAAAATTTAGCTGAAGTATTTTATTGATAAGAAGACCCTGGAGTTTTTATTGCATAGCATGAGCAGGAAAAAAATTCTGATTTTGTCTTTGGGTTTCAATTTAAGCAGTTCATGCTCAGTAAGACTGACTTACTAAGATTACTACATGTTTCAGCAGTAACTATATTGCTGCATGTGTAATTGAAGGATTGTACGACTTACACATTTCACCTTGTCTTGAGGAAAAGTTTGTGTAAGCAGAGTAAACATTCCATCATGATTCAGCTGATTCTGAAGGAGATTCAAAACCAGGTGACTCTGAAAGATTTAGGAAATAAGGCACCCCTGTAGTGTGTGGTTTTGCTGCAGTTATATTCTAAAATTCTCCAAGAAATAGCTCAAAAATTTTGAAAGCCCTGTAAGATTAGGCTTTTGGGTTTTTGGGGACACAATAAGGAGGTTCACAGTTCCTCCTGCTCTCTTCACTGCATTTTGTGCTTCTTTGAACTAAAACCATTTTGAAAGCACTATCTGCAACATGGAAGAAACAAGGATAAGAACACTCATATTTATGAACATGAAAATGCATAGAATCATGGTAGTATGCCTAAAGTTATGTAACTTCATCAGATACTGGAAATTAGAAGGTTTTGAGGAGAGTAAGACCAAGGAGAAACATCTTTTACACCGGATTCTATTTGTTGTTGTTGTTGTTGTTGTTGTTGTTGTTGTTGTTGTTTTTCTTTTTTAATGAGCAATTCTACTTTCCTGAATTCTAATACATGGCTGACAAGGATGCTTGTAATTGTCCTGAAGTGAGGACAACATGTACCCTGAAGATGACCTGCCATCCTGGCAGACCTGTGAGGTTCTGAGTCACCTCAGTAGAAGTCTTAGCAGCCTTCACAGAGAGGACAGCAGAAAGCTGAGATGGAATCCCTCACTGTCTCAGAGAGGTCTGCGGCCTCCAGGCTCAGCTTGCAGAAATTCTATGAGCAGGGAACCCAGAAACTTGGTTGCTAATGTCTAGCCACATGTTAAACAGCTTTGTTACAGGTGTAAAGTGCCATCAAGCACTTTAGAAGCTTCGGTGACAAAAATGGGAAAAGCAAAGTTATTAATTGATTTCAATGGAGACTGTAGGAATGTATAGGATAAGAGTTCAAGTTGTCTCTGTCCAGTTGCCTCTGATTGTCATGTTGGCTCTGATTGTGTCGTGTATGTAGACAGAGTTCCCGAATTTTGTGGAAATGCCAGTGTCAAACCCTGGCTCATGGGACTGGATGGATGCCCCCCAGATGGCCCACTATTTGATGCACTCTGTTCCTTACTTCTCAGATGCTTCTCAGCCTGGGCTTGAAATTACACTACTCCTGCCAGTGCTAGTGAGGTGTGGGACATGAAGAGGAATGAAGGGGAAAAAGATGGAACCCTGTGCCTTGATGAGTCTGCAAATGTTATGGATTTCAAAGTAGGTAAGAGTCAGCAGTAGGAAATACATGCTTATCCGTGATCACCTACTCTAGGCCTAGCAGTTCAGCAGCAGTAAGCAGTTTTTCTCAGGTGGAGAGCTTCAAGCCTTGCCGATTGCTGTGGAAGATTCACCCACACTTTATGGATTCAAAAAATCCATCATAGCACAAAATTTTCTTTGCAATAACAAAATAAAACCTGAATCACTGTGATCAAAAGAAATCGCACTTGACCTAGGACACTCATGCTCTCCTGACTTCAGAAAGCCTTCTCCAGGATATTTGAACAAATATCCTGGAGAAATAGAAGACTAAGAAATTTTACCCATGCCCTAAGGAGCTGTAGACTTACAAAATAAAGTTACTTTGGAAAACTGACTGGTAGAAGATAATCCTGAAGATGCATAGTGCCTAAGCCCAATTTTGGAATAGTAAATGGACAGGAGTAGATTTAACATTCAGCTTTTCTACAACTAAATAGGAAGATATGTGCTTTGAGTCACAAAATAAAGCCTTGTATTCACACTTTTCTCTAGAGATAGCTTATAAGAAATATGTCTGGCTTTGTGTAAGAAATTTATAGAAAGCCAGGTAGAGATTATATAGAGATTCTCATGTACGTGTATTAGTGCATGGAAACAGTTACATTTGGCGTGCACAAGCTGCTGATCACATTCTGGTCCAATTAATTATTCCAATTAATCTCTTTCTAATGTAGTTGTGGGTTGTGTTTTTTGTTGTGTGTGTATGTGGGGTTTTTGTGTTTGGTTTTTTTATTTTTTAGTTTTTTTGGCATTACTGCTGTTTTTCAGTAGAAAAAGATGCTAAACCCAAGAACTGAAAATGCTGGGATTGTAATTTATCCAAATAATACAAAGTAACTTCAGAGGAACCTAAGCCTCAATAAGACTGTGCATTTTACATCTTCTGTTATCAATCTTCAGTATAACTCTTCCCCCTTTCTTGTGTTAATAAAGAACAATATAATCCCTGATAAAAAAGTATTTCTTTATATCAAGATACTTCTTAACAAATTATTTTATTCTGCATATTGGGTGGATGCAAGGCATTGTTGGTGTGGCAGGTTGTGGTAAGCCGGCTTATAAATCCCATAGTGAAAGGGAACATCAGAAGTGCTAGGCAGTATTCTTTTATTTCTGTAAAAAAGAACGAAAAAGTGTATAATATCTGGCAGCTTTCTCATTTTCTCAACGGTTTAATTTTTTATATTGAATACAAAGGTTCAGCAACACTGACAGAAGGTGTGCAGGAAGTCCAGCAGCTCACTTCAGTGAAGGGCCTTCGGCCTGTCAAGGGCCTTCGGTCCTAGCAGTGAAAGTCTTTGGCATCGGGAGTGCGACTGTCAGGTAGCTAGGGAGCCTTGTGAATGGTCAGACATGGAAGTTTCCTTAAAAAACCTTGTGACGGCAGGGGTCCTCAGCACAGCCACTCAGGGCAAACATGGCCCAGTTATTTCCATGCAATTCAGCTGACACCCAAGCCAGAAAACGCCCTGGGAGTCAAGCTCTTTGCAGAGATAAATTCAGTTCAGTTTGTTTTAGTCATTATGCCAGTAATAGCTTAGCCATTTTTGAACAGCTCAAGACATGCAGTAATTTCTATATTTGCCTAGCCTGGGGAAGAGAAAAACACTCAAAAAAACTGTTATGGATATGCCACATTTAAATGCCTTGGACAAACTGATGGGTTCAGTGGAGAGCAAAAAGATGATTAAGGGATTGGAGTACCTCTCTTAGGTTGAGGAAGTCGGGCCTGTTCAGCTTCGAGAAGAACTGAGAGGAGATCTTATCAATGTCTGTGAGTATCTGAAGGAAGGGTGTCAAGAGCACTAGCACAAGAGTCAATAGGCAGAAACGGATGCAAAGGAAGCTCCACCTATACATGAGGAATAGCTCATTTACTGTGCAGTGACCGAGCACTGAGCAGGTTCCCCAGAGAGGTTGTTGAGTCTCCCTAAGTGGCGATATTCAAGAACAACCTGTTTGCAATCCTGTGCCATTTGCTCTGGGGTGACCCTGCTTGAGCAGGGAAATTGGACCAGATGATCCCCTGCGGTCCCTTCCAACCTGACTCATTCCGTGACAACCCGTACCTTTACGAGAGCGGGCAGCCAGCGTGAGTAAGAAGCGGCTCTAGGAGGGCAAGGCCCGCGGAAGGCGGAGCTGCGCAGCCCCCGCCGGCTGCCGTAGCCTCGGACAAGCCGCGCCCCTTCCTCGCCGCGCCCGCCGCCGGGAGGGGCGGGGGGGGCACGGCTGCACCGCCCCCTCGAGCCGCGGGGCGGGGCGGACCGGCGGGGAGCGGCCGGAGCCGGGGCGGCGGCGCTGCTGCCGGGCGGCGGCGGCCGGGGGGCAGGATGGTGTTTGAGTCCCTGGTCGTGGACGTCCTGAACCGTTTCCTTGGCGACTACGTGGTGAACCTGGACAGCTCCCAGCTGAAGCTGGGCATCTGGGGAGGTACGGGCCTGGCGCGCCGCGGGGGAGCCGCCCGCCTGCCCTCAGGCCGCCGCGTGCCTTCCTGCCCGGCCGGCTCGCCCTGCCGCCCGCTCAAGGGAGGAGGCCGGGGCGGCGTCCCCTGGGCGCTGCTAGGCCGGGCCGGGCCAGGCCACCGGCCCAGCCGACAACTCTGCCGCCTCTCCACCTGCCCGGCCGCTTAAAAATAGCCGCGGGGGCGGTCAGGCGGGCGGGCTGGGAGGTGGTGTCCGCGGAGCAGCCGGCTGCGGCAGCGCGGGGCGGTGGCGGCGGCGGAGCGGGAGGAGCTGCAGAACGGGGGCAAGAGAAACCGAGCGAAGTGCTGGAGGCGCACGAACGGCCGCTTCTGTTTTGTTTTTCCATATGGAGCCGCCCGTGCTGTCTCCTAAATGGGGACGGACCTTGGCTGGCCGCGGTGTCTCTGGTGCTTGCAGAAAGTTTGGGAGTTGGCGGGCGGGCAGGTTGGAGGCGGGAGCCTGACCTGGTTCTGGGAATGCGAAACTGAACTGGTTTACGGGCGTTTTCCACGCCCGGAAATAAACCGTGCATAAACGCCAAGGGTTCTGACGGCGTTTAAGTGCTTGTGGGGGTGAGTGGTCTCTCCGCGAACGACAGTGACATCCCTTGCGTTCTTGGCGCTGCCATCTGTAGGTCTCGAATACTTGTTATTTTTAGCTTTAAAGAACCAGGAGTGGATACAGCCTTAGGTGTTAGCAAAGGCGGTGCCTAGCTGTACTAGGCGGGGTAAGCAGTGGTCTGTAGAATTAAATGAACATGCTAGTTCTGAAAGCAGTAAAGTGTTCTGTTTGAATGTGCACTCCTGAGTTACCCTTAGTAAGGTACCTACAAGAAAACAGCACCAAAGGTCTGTCAGACACAGACCATGAAGGGATGCCTGTGATCAGTGCTGGCTCAGTTTTGAATGTGCATCCCAGGTGTCTGCAGCATCAGCAAAAGCAAACACAGAGGTTCAGGGTTTTTTTACAGATGCATTCATACAGTAGGTGTGAAACATCCTCGAGGTAATTGCCTACCTCAATTCCATTCCTAGGTACTCATATACATTAACTAGATTTTGTAAGCTTCTCCTGGAGCTTTTTGCATCATGGACATTTTTGTTTTCATGCTTGTTTTCTGAAATGGCATCCTTATTTAGTTTTATCTTTGCAGTTGTTTTCTTCAGTTAGTCAAGGCGTTCATAGCATCTTTGTGAAGTTCAGTCTCTGTAAGGAGTCTTAACACAGCAACAGCACATGTAACTGCTGGAGACAATGTATTAGTCATTCACTTGTAGCAGTGAGGCTTAATATCGCATATCTCTTACTGGTTAGGTGAGCCTTATTTGCAAGGTTTGACTAATTGCACTTTTCAGCAGAGCTGTGTCAAGCTAATTGCTTGATTTGTGTAATGGAGTTACCAAAGTTTCTTTCTGTTCAATGAAGACAGAATTTTTAATGAAATACATGAAACATTGTAAATGTTTTGGGCAATGTTTGTACATTCCAAAAAAGGTAAAAGCTTCTTTTTCCCAGTTCTCTAAGTTGCTGATGGTTAGTCATGGCAGCTTATGCCTCTGTGAAGCAACTATTAACAGATTAGATTCATATTGTCTCAATTAAAAAAAACCAAAAAACTACCCAAACCAAACAATCCAACCCAAACAAAAACTAAAAAAAACTCCTCAATTTTACTTTGAAGTTTTGATGTTCAGCTGTCATATTTTTCCATGTCTGTGGAACTTAATTTTATTTTTTATTACTTCATCTTCAAGAGGTTCTTGTATTTTAGAGGCTTTAGTATATTTTAATTTAAACTGAATATCTCGTTTCTCAAGTGCCTATTAGAATAAAATTATTTTTTCTCTACATAGCCTGTTGACTTGTTTATAGTGTATACTGATACATGGAGCTACCAATGTCTTGCTATAAAAGGCTCAGAAATGCTGTGTTGTGTTGGTGAGGCATCACCTGTGGAGTTTTTTCCTGGTCTACCACATGATGCTAGTTTTTGACTTAAATTGTGTTTAATGGTCTGTACACCTGCAATATTTCTTTTAATTCAAATATCTCAAAGGACCTAGATGTTGCATTCTGCTATGTAAAAGGCAGCAACTATTAGTAGTAACAGCAGTAGGAAAAGTAGAATACGTTAATATGAAATGCATCATTGATTAGCAGATCCCTAGACTCACAGTATACCTAAAGTCTATGGATAATTTTTTTAGCTTGCTAATTACTAAAATTTTGTAACTTAGGTATTTTTTAAAAAAGTACTATTTTTGCCTTCATATCTTGTGTAAACTTAATAGCTTTTCATGCTTGTCTGTGTGCTCTGGAAGCATTTCCATTACAGCTATGTATTTTCTTACAGTGTTTGCCTTTGTGTCTTGATAAGATTGCTAAATTTTACATAATTCATGTACTATTGAAATTAAATTGTCCTAAATCCATCAAATTAAAACAAAGAAAGGAAAAAAAAAAGGGAAGTTGTTTGGGTTTTTTTCCCCTGTAACAAATCACCACTGCTTTTTGGATGCTAGAGCACTGTGCAAACTATATATATAGAGAGAGAGAGAGAAAGAGAGAGAGAGAATCTTATATTTTAAAAGGCATGTATTTTTTTGCCTCTGAATGATTAAAACCCAGAGTGGTTTATATTAAAAGGCTGTAGGGAGCAAATTGTGGCCTTGTGGTTTTTAATACCTAGCCTGTTTGAATAAAGGCTAGTAATATGTTCATAGGCTGAATCTATGTATAAAACCCAATTTTACATAGTTTCAGCCTCTGTAAATTCAGAGCTTTATTAATGACTTTTAATGATCATGCTTAATATTAACCTTGGTTTTGATAAATGAGGGAATTCATCCTGCACTATTAAATCAGTTCCATGTTCAATCTGTGTCGTAAAGTTGTTTGATGATGCTGCTCCAGAAAATGCATGAACACATTAATAATTACAGTAGTGATTTTATTTTTTTTTCTTGTTAAAAACCCTTCAGATTGAAAGGTAAAAATGTGGACTATCTCAATATTGATAAAAGATGTGCTATCTGAAAACAATAATGGCTGAGAATGTTGCAAGAGCTGAATGACCTGAAATATAAAAGGCAGTGCAGAAAGTTTAAGGTAGCTCAGCCTACACAGGTATAAAGGCTAATTTGAATGTGTAAAGCCAATACTGGAAAAGCCGAGGCTTAGAAAAAAGTGAAAAGGGAAAAAATCATATGCCTAAGGAACTCCACTAATATGAAGCAAGTTAAAGACTACTGTGTTAGGCAGCCATCAGAGACAGCTGTTGGATAGCCGATACTGGGAAGGACACTGTTCTTTAACCTCTTTTTTTGGTGTTCACTAAGAAAGATAGTTTCAATGAACTGTGCTAACAAGCGCACAAGTACTTGGCTTAGATAAACAAAAGGTGAGTTAGATATTTTTGAATGCTCTAGACCTGGTCAAGTTAAAATACTTGAAAAGATGCTTGCAGCAATGTGAGATGTATGCAGTTATCAGTTACCTTTGACAAGAAGTGAAATGCCAGTGACATATCCAGTATTGAGAGACCAAACAATTGTTTTATTACAGTTCATGATGCTATTTTTCAGTGTTTTGGTCAGACCCTCTGTACTGCCCTTTAAAAAACTTAAATTTTGGTTGACTTGGCACACTTGCACGTTAGGTAATGTCTCGAGCATGTCTTCCTGAACACAACTTATTATTTGAGTAGCTGGTGTGTCTTTTTGGGGTAGCTGTGTTAGTAAGATGATATAGGCAGATAATTGGCATGTTTATGAGCACACAAACACTTTTTTTTTTGGCTACAGCTATTATTATAGTGAAGGACAACTACTTTTGTTTATTTTGCCCTGTCTAGGTAGAGCAGGTACAACCTCCTCCCCTCCCCTTACATAACCGTAATTTGAATTCATTTGAGGGATACATAATGTCTAGTAGTTTTTACTGTCTTTCACGATCCATTTTACAATAGATGTCAATAGATGAGGTATTCAGCAGACACTGATCCTCAAAGGCTTGCAGCTTGTCTCTAGAGGGTATGCTTAAGCAGAAATAATTAACAGCACAAACAGAAATGGGAAATGACTAGCAAAAGCAGCTGTTTGTGTTAAATGATCAGAGGTATTCACAAGCTGACAATGTTTTTGGAAACAAGCAGAAATTTTGTTGAAATATTTGAACAGGAGTGTTGGATACTGATCAGATACTAGCTAAGGTATTTGCATTTTCTGATCTTTCCTCTCTCTCTTGTCTGCATTCCTTCCCCTGCCCTTTTATTTAAAGACAGCAGAGAGTGATCTATTAGGTAAAATCTCCAGGATTTTTATGTAGATTAATTTTCTTCCCCTCCTTTATCTTTTGTTTACGACCATAACAAAATTTCTCTTAGGCCTCTTTGGTGAAGTAGTTTACTAGATCTCTTTTTGCAAGCTGAATCCTTGGTAGTAGATGTTAGTCCATGCATTTAAATTAATGAAGTTATTTTGAGTATCTAAAATTGAAATGATAAAGCTATTTTTCTAGAATTTTGACAGCTGCTTTATTTTGTTGAGTTATTCACATTGTCCAGAGATCACTAAATCTAAAAGTTTGCATTATAAAGTAG